AAATCAGTCCACAGGCAGCAGAGTTAGTCGGGGAACATCAGAATCATATGGGACCTTCAGTTCAGAAGGTAAATGAACTCTATCTGTTCGCAGCATCCTGCCCCAAACCAGAGCCCCCCACTCACGGCCGCAGACTGGGCCGGGTGTTTGGCATCGGACACGAGGTCCACTTCCTGTGTAAGCCTAACTACGAGCTCATTGGCCCACGGACCCGAGTCTGTCTGGAGTCTCTGAAGTGGAGCGGCCAGCAGCCAATGTGCCGACGTAAGAACTGATACTGGACCACAACCGTAGAACTGATACTGGACCACAACTTCACACTGAGATCACTGGGGCTGCAGAAGGCAAAAGCAAACCAGGCATACAGTTCCTGTTTACATTTCACTTTTTCAGAGACTGAATGTGCTGAAACAGGAAAACACTGGTAGAACTAAAATCATATGTTCAACAGTCATTCTATCTATCTATAGTGAAACTCAAGAAGCCCGAATATGCGTGCTGATAGAAGAGTTCACAGGCTATGTGTTCAAATCTTTGGCGGCACTCTGGATGATGCGAGACGAACATCCTCAGCTTGTCACAACCACTGATCCTGACTTGACCTATGTTACCACAGAGACTCCACTGAAACCTTGCCAAGTGGAATAGCTGCCTTGACATAACAGGCACAAACAGGAGAGGAGTGCTAAACCTTGCTTTGCCATATTCCTGCCCCAGCTCATCAGATAAATAACCTACTGGGACTTTACGTGAATCTGACATGCAGCCAAAATCCAGCATCCCTCCCTGAAGTGTGTTGATATGGTGACAGACGTCAGAGCTTTCAGCATGGTACAGTGAGAACGAAGGATGTTACTATGAGATTTATTCAGATATGAGGTTCAGTAGGAACTCTAATCGTAGCAGTGTCGCGAGCCACTAACTCACAATCAACAACCATCCCACATGCCACAGTAACTCTCACAGCACGAGCACAAATCATGTGCACTAATCGCCACGTCTTCTGCTGGTCACCTGCTAAGTTCTGGAGGACGTCGTTTGAAGACGGGGAGATGCCAGGTAGGAGAGCTGCTCCAATCTTGACCATAGACGTGAGATGTTAATCCACATTCCCTGCGTGGTCCAGTCCAAACTGCAAGAAACGATCCACGTATACGCGAGCGAGGCAACAATCCGACAGTACATGAATGCAGTGATCTCGCGAGCTCGGAGAACACCTTGGGCTTTTTGAGGCACTGCAGAACAGGCACACCTGGCATCTTCTACTGACCCGTCAGACCTGACAGATTGTGGCACTCAGATATCAGAGCAGCCTCAGTGTAACTCAGGGAACGGCTGTTCACACAGTCTTTCTAATAGCAGCCCGGCACGACGAGGCGCCTGCTACCAAGGACAATGGTCTCCACGCTCTCGCATTCGCTACGTGGTTCCTTTCTCGGGTTCGGCCGCCGAGTTTTCCATGCGCCCTGCACCAGTTCACATCCCCCCCACGTCTGGACATCTGCGAGAGAAAATCAACTCCCAGATCTGAAAAAAACTACTGAATCTGCAGCGCGGCGACACACGTTCTACCACAGACCCGCGCTGTGGACAAGGCCTTACCAGCAGTCAAAATGGTCCTTGGACTGTCTCCGCTTTCCTCCTGGGATTTTACTGAGCAGAAGGCAGCGCGTTCTACGAGGCTGCTGACAGACACGGCCAGTAGTCAGAACACAATTCACGGACTAGAATAGTAGTAATCAGAACCACTTGAGGAATCTTGTAGAACACGACAGATCAATCTAACATTCACTGTCTCATAATGGAATGATTGTTTCTAGTCACATCAGATCCAACAGTCTGAGTTCAGGAAGATTTTCTTAGATGAATGGTCTCTGCATGGTATTGTTTACTCTTAACTGATAGAAAAACTCGCGATGTCTTACCTGAAGAAATATTCTTCACGCAGGAGGGCTTCTTTGAGCGCTGCTGCCAGTGGTCCAAGTCCAACAAACGCTTGTAATGGGATTATTCATATTAAATCACCCTGATATCTTCAACCAGAAAAACAAATCACTTTTTTTTCTTTACTGTTGCCCCTCCAGACTCGAGTGGCCTGTTAACCTCCCAGAGAGAAGCTGTGAAGCTCTGTCCTCAGCTTCTCCAGCTCACCAGTCCTCTAGTCTGAGAGAGCCTGGACCTGGCGTACGCATTACAACCCTCTGCAGGATCTCAGGAACCTTGCAAGCTCCTGCTGTGCTGACTGAAGAGTCCAACAGTGCTACACTGGAAACTCCTCAGGTCAGTTCAAGTTATTTGTTGTTGCTGGCGTACTGACTTAGACGTAAACTATGATCTCTGAATTCTGTGTGGTTTAATTCAGGATTTCCTATTTGACTTATGTCAAATTCTTAAACAAACAGCACCTCTTCTCGGTTTTGTGCTGTTTGCAGGCTTCAGGCTGTATGATCTTCACAAGCAGGAACGGCTTGTGCTTCTCTTGGCCTCAGCTCTGAGCTCCCAACCCCTCCCATCTGAGCAGACGCCCTGGACCTGAGCTACCAATCATCCAGGGAGAATCAGGAGTGAAGATGCTCTCTGATGCCAGTGGAGGATCCACCAGTGGACGACTGGACACCCTCAGGGTAGGAATAGCCTGCTGCAGACACAGACAGTCAGAAACAATGGTCTGAAATCCATGAAACGTAGCACAAATATCAGGCTGATATGTTTCAGGTTCTTTGTTTTTCCGCGTATTAGTTATACATCGCTGAATGTATCAGTGTAGTGAGCTCGACTGTTCCATGCTGACAAAAGGATGTTCGCTGCTCGCCCTCTCTTCTCAGGGTGGAGCCTGCTGATCCGATGGCACTTACACCAGGTCTGAGGAAGTGCAGTCGAAAACAAAGCTCTGCATGTCATATAAAGCTGCGGGGGGGTCAATTTATTGATCAGCATTGATAGATCAATTAAGCACTGTATTGTTCTTGTTCTCTCCATCAGATTCTTGTGAATCCATCAACAACACAGTTACAGACATCAACCTGTCTGCACAACAACAGAAGATGATTCATGGCGTAGGGCGCCATCAGCCATATCCTGATCATCCAGAGATTTGAGACATTCTCAGGCTGTGTGTACAATGGTTGATTGGTCGCAGTTACTGGCAGGTGGCGTGGAGAGGAAGAGCTTACCACATATAGTGGGTTACACAAGGGAGACGTCACAGTAAAAGTTGTTTTGGCGATTAGTCCTGGAGTCTGTTCTGCTCGGAACATGATGGTCGTTACTCTTGCTGCACACATAACAAACCGGAACATCATCTTTCTCTTCCTCCTTTTGTACAGAGTACAAGTGTACTGGACTGTCTGCTGCACTCCATGTCTTCTACAGAGTTCCTCTGACCACTATCATCTCACACCTTCAACACATTTACTCACTTTTATCTGGATTTTGGGCTAGGTTCGTCCCATATCATGTTGTTCACTCAGTGTTCTGTGTTTCTTGTAGGAGGAACTCAGCAATATATCAGTTACAGATTGCAACCAACTGAACCACTCAGTTATATTTGACAACAACTTGAAGTTCCATCTACGAGTTCAAGTGTTTGGTTTTTTGTCCGTTCTGGCTACTGTATGAAACATGGGCAAATTCATAAATGGCACGACACCTGTGGAAGAACACCCTGCATTGTCTGTAGATAAAACCGTTTAATTCTAAAGTAACAACAAGACAAATGATTCCTAATAATAATT